TAGCTAGCTAGCTAGCTAGCTAGATAGATAGCTACCATAGCTGCATAGCTGTGTAGCTGGTTAGCTAGCTAGCTAGCCAGCTAGCTATTTGTGTGGTCAGATGAAGAAGTAGGCAGAGCCCTAGGCGGGCCGGCGAGCTGTACCCGCGTAGCTAGCTAACCTAGCTAGCTAGCTAGCTGGGTGGCTGGCTAGCTGGCTATTTAGCTAGCTAGCTAGCTAGATGGCTATTTGGCTAGCTAGCTAGCTAGCTATCTAGATATCTGGCTAGCTAGCTGGCTGGCTGCGTAGCTGCTGCGACTTTGCCTGCTCCTCGCTCTTGCCGCCCAGCTGCTGCTGCGTGTGCTGCTGCTGCTGCCTGTGCTGCTGCTGCTGCTGCTGCTGCTGCTGCAGCGGCGGTACGGGTCTAGCCCCCGGGACGGGCGGCTGCGGTGTATCCGCTGCAGCAGCAGCAGCCACTGGCTCTGCGGCCCTCCGCTGCACCGCCACGGGTGAGAGTGGAAAATGAATCTTTTTAATTGATTTTAATTAAATTAATATTAATTTAATTAATTTTAATTTCATTTAATTCAATTAATTAAAACTAGTCGCAGCTTCAAAGGCTCAGTCGTCGCTGCCGAGGCCCCAGATGGGATTTGGGCCCCGGGCGCTGCTGCTGCTGCTGCTGCTGCTGCTGCGGCTGCTGCTGGTGCTTTGTTCCTTTTCTTGTAAGCACCATTGCTGCTGCTTCTGCAGTCCTGCTGCTGCTGCTTCTGCTGTCTCTGCATTCCCACTGCCCCCCTTGCTGCTGCTGCTGCTGCAGGTTGCATTCTTTATCTATTCGCCGGACTGCGCCTCCCTGGAACCCAACATCTGCAGCAACAACAGCAGCAGCAGCAGCAGCAGAAGCACCGACTGTGTGGACGCGGCGGCGGCTGCGGGCCTTCGACTTGCAGGCAAAAAAAGAAATTAAAAAGCAGAAAACAAAACATGGTGCTGAGGCGGAAGCAGAAAGGGGCCTGAGGCACCAGCAGCAGAGCCGCCAGCAGCAGCAGCAGCAGCAGCAGTGGGACTGGGCGTTGCAGCAGCAGCAGCAGCAGCAGCAGCAGCTGTGGCTAAGGCGCCCGGAGGACTCTTATGCCTTCAGGCACGGCTACCCGCAGCATCAGCAGCCGCAGCGCGTGCACTACCCGCAGCTGCAGCTACAGCAACAGCAGCAGCAGGCGCTGCTTCAGCAGCAGCAGCAGGCGCTGCTGCAGCAGCAGCAGCAGCAGCAGCACCTGCTGCAGCAGCAGCAGCAGCACGCGCTGCTGCAGCAGCAGCAGCAGCAGCACCTGCTGCAGCAGCAGCAGCAGCAGCACCTACTGCAGCAGCAGCAGCAGCAGCACCTACTGCAGCAGCAGCAGCAGCAGCACCTGCTGCAGCAGCCGCACCTGCTGGACTACCGCATGCAGCAGCCGCGGGGCCACATGGCGTGGCCGCCGCCGCCTCCCGCAGCAGCAGCAACAGACGTCCAGCTGCGGCTGCTGCCTGCAGCAGCAGCAACAGCAGCAGCTGCTGCTACTGCTTTTGCTGCCCCTCCTTTTCCCGGGCCCCGCTTTCAGCCCAAAGGCCCGTAAGAAGTACTGGCCCCTTTTTGTCTTTTTGTTGAGTTTATGTTTTTTTTTTGACAATAGCAGCAATATCTATTGGCAGCAGCAGCAACAGCAGCAGCAACAGCGGCTCTTCCAGCAGCAGCAGCAGCAGCGCTTTCAGCAGCAGCAGCAGGCCCACAGCAGCCGGTGTGTGCATTCTGCTGCTGCTGCTGCTGCTGCATTTTCTGGCGCTGGTGTTGCTGTACCCACCGCATTCGCTGCTGCTATTTCTGCAGCAGTTCCTCTCTGCAGCAGCAGCTGCTGCTGCTGTTGCTGCAGCAGTTCCTCTCTGCAACAGCAGCTGCTGCTGCTGTTGTGCAACATTTCCTCTCTGCAGCAGCAGCAGCTGCTGCTGCTGTTGCTGCAGCAGTTCCTCTCTGCAGTAGCAGCAGCTCCTGCTGCTGCTGCCTATTTTTTACAGCCCCGCCGCTGCAGCTGCGGCTGAGTGGCTATTCCTGCTGCAGCAGCTGCTGCTGCTTAGGCAGTGGAACACATCTGGCGAAGAGTAGCAGCAGCAACAGCAGCAGCAATGGAGTCCCTGCAACAGAGCAGCCATGTTGCTGCAGCAGGCAAATCAGCAGCAGCAGCAGCAGCAGCAACTGCTGCTGCTGCTGCTTCCCTAGCGATCATTCCCAGCAGCAAATGCTCTTGTTTATCTATTAAAAATGTTAAACCCCAGTAGAAAGTTAGACGGGGAAGCAGCAGCAGCAAGACCAGCAGCAGCAGCAGGACCAGCAGCAGCGGGAGCGGTATTAACTGTTCCCTTGTGCTGCTGGGACGCTCCTCTGTCGCTGCTGCTGCTGCTGCTGCTGCTGGCTTGCTGCTCCCCCTTATGGGAAAACGTATAGCTAGGGGTCCTTGCAGGGGGGCCCCCCGAGGGGCCCCCAGGGGGGCCCCCAGGGGCCCCCTTGCTGGCTGTTTGTCTGTTGCGGGCTCGCAGCAAAACTTTTTCAATGTCTGCTGCTGTTGGTGGGGGCAACTTGGGCAGCGGGAGGCAACGCTGCTGCTGCTGTTGCTGCTGCTGCTGCTGTTCCTGTGATGGACTGGAAGCGGTTGACGCTGCCTGGGGCTGCTGTTGCTGCTTCTGGGGCTGCTGCGGTTGTTGCTGCTGCTGCTGCTGTTGGGCCTGCAGAAGCTGCTGCTGCTGCTCCTGAGGCTGCGGTAGGTGTTGCTGCTGCTGCTGCTGCTGTTGGGCCTGCAAGAGCTGCTGCTGCTGCTCCTCTGCGCTTCTCGGGATGAGCTGCTGCTGCTGCTTCGCAAAAGGCATTTGGCCTGACCAGCCCCTCCACCAGAAAGTTTCTAAGGGAGCTGCAGCAGCAGCTGCAGCAGCAGCAGCTGCAGCAGCAGAGTCTCCTGCTGCAGAGCCCCCTACAAACCACGGATGCGGGGGTATGGGGGGCAGCTCAGTGGTCTCTACGCTGGCTGCAGAAGCAGCAGCAGCAGCAGCAGCAGCAGCAGC